AAAACGACTAACTAGAAAAATTGGAAATGGAGTTTAGAAAATAGTTAAGAGTGCACTTGTTTTCATCAACGGAACTAGGAAAATGATATTTATATAACTACTGGATAAGTGATAAGGGTTTTGATTTCTCCATCTCTTCGAACAAGGCTGATCACACACATAAATGGCATAATAGACTTGTACATATGGGTATTAAAGAGCTTAAGCTTCTTAATGAAAAATGTGCTTTTGGTAATGATTGTGTATCTGATTTATCTTTCTGTGATTGTTGTGTGCTTGGTAAGCATCATATAGCTTCTTTCTCCATAAGTGTTCATAAAGTTAAAGGCATGCTTGAATATGTGCATTTAGACTTCTGGGGTCCTGCTAGTAATCTTACCTCGAGTGAAAATAGGTATTTCTTGTCTATTATTGATGATTACACGAGAAATGTATGAGTTTATCTTTTAAAAGACTAGTTTGATATTTTTCATAATTTTAATAATTGGAAAAGACTAGTTGAGAATCAATCGGGCAAGATGATTAATTTTTTGAGAACTGATAATGGCCTAGAGATGTATAACAATGAATTTGAAAATGTCTGCAAAGAGAATGGAATAACAAGGCATAAGACTATTTCTTATACTCTCCAGTAAAACAGGGTAGCGGAAATGATGAATAGAATTATTCTTGATAAAGTACGATGCATGATGTTAAGTTTTAGTGTCCATAAATCATTTTGGGGTGAAGCTGTTATGACTGCTTGCAATTTTATTAATTTGACTTCTTTTACTGCATTGAATGGTGATACTCCTCATGAAAAATGGTCCGGTAAGCTAAATAATTATTCCGTGCTTAGAAATTTTGGTTATTTTGCATTTTTTCATCAGTGAGTGGGAAAACTTGAACCTAGAGCTAGAAAATGTGTTTTTCTAGGTTATCCTGAGGGTGTCAAAGGGAGTATGTTATGAGATAGAAGCCAAAAGGAGGTTAAGATCATTGTCAATAGAGATGTTACGTTTAACGAGGGTGAAATGCTGTGTCTTAAGACTGAATTTGAACCCATGAATGAAGAAGAGTAGAGTGAAGAGAGAGATCAGTTGAAGGTGAAATTAGGAAAACTTAGCATATCTGTCCCTACCACCTCTAATGAGGTTGAGACCCAAGTTCAACAACCTAAGATGGAGATTGGAGATGAGTAGTGATAGAAGAATATCTTGAGGAAGAAAATCTTTTAGCAGATTATAACTTAGCTAGGGATAGAGAGATAAGACAAATGAGAATGCCTAGAAGATTTGGATATGAATCCAAGTTTGTTTTTGCTTATGCTAGCTATGAGGAGTTAGCTGATAGAGAGTTAAAAATATTTGAGGAGGCGATGAAGAGTAAACAATTTGAAGAGCGGTTTAAGACAATGAAAGAGGGGATACGTTCCTTAGAAAAAATTAAGTTTGGGAACTAGTATTTAGACCTAAGAATAAATCTACAGTTGATTGTAAGTGGGCTTTTTAAGGTTAATGAGGGTACTAGGGCATCTAAACCTCTAAGATTTAAAGCTAGGTTAGTGACTAAGGGGTACACACAAAATGAGGGTGTTGATTATAACGAGATTTTTTCACCAATTGTTTAGTACACTACTATTAATGACATACTTGCATTGGTTACACATTTTGACTGGGAACTAGAATAGTTTGATGTAAAAATTATTTTTCTATGGTGAACTTGATGGACAAATCTTTATGAATCAATCAAAAAGTTTTTTTAAAAAAAACTAAAACCTGATTATGTGTGTTTCATGAAAATGTCTTTATATGGCTTATAGCATTCACCTAGATAGTCGTATAAAAGATTTGATTCTTTTGTACTTTCTATAGGGTTTCAAATGAGTAAGTTTAATCATTGCCTGTATTTCCAGTATGGTGTTAATAATGACTATGTGTTTTTAATATTCTATGTGGATGATATGTTCTTAGTTGATTCATCACCTAAGTGTATAAGCAAGATAAAAACAAAGTTGAATTGCGAATTTGACATGAAAGATCTAGGTAAGGTTAAGAGAATCTTAGGTATGAAAATTGAAAGAGATATGACAAATTCTGTATTGTTTTTGTATTTGTTTTCTTTAAGTTTCAGAGGTGTTAAAAGGATTTTGCATGTATGATTGCTAACATATTACGTTACATTTAGCTAATCATTTTGTATTATATAAAGATTTGGCTCCATGTAATGAAAATGAAATAGAATACATGAATAAGATTCCATATTCTAATGTGATTGGATCTAGTATGTATTTGATGGTTTGCACTAGACCAGATTTAGTTTTTTCTGTTAGTACTCTTAGTAGTACACGTCTAATTCGGGACCCGAGCATTGGGATGCCATAAAGTAGGTGTTAAGGTATTTGAAGGGGACTAGTGATGTAAGTCTTAAGTTTAGTGTTAGTAAATGAGTGAAACTGAATGGTTTTGTAGATGCGGACTATGTGGGGTACATGGATAAGAGGAAATTGACTTCTTCCTATGTGTTTACTTTGTCTAACTCTTGCGTTAGTTAGAAATCACAGTTACAACACACAGTTAGAAATCACAGTTACTATCCATGACAAAATTAGAATATATTGCTACCACTGAAGCAATTAAAGAGGCTTTGTGGCTTAGAGGTTTGCTTCATGAATTTTGTGTTTTAAATGATTATGTAGTAGTATATTCAGATAGTCAATCATCTATACATCTATACAAAAATCCTGTTTTTCACAAATACACCAAGCACATTGATGTTAGACTACATTTCATTATAGATATTGTATCAAAATAGGTAATAAGACTTGAAAAAGTCCATATACAATATAACTCCTCGAACATGGGCACTAAGGTGTTTTCGTTGGTGAAGTTTAGAGGTAAATAATTTTCAATTTTATTTGTTCTCCTTTTGGAATTATCATTAATGGGTGATAATGTTTTCTTTGTAGGTTCTTTGACACCAATGTGGATGTTTGTTGGGCAAATTGTTTTCAAAAAACCTCCCAAGCTATGATGTTAAATCAGTATAATTTTATTAGTCGAATTGACCAATCGACTAAACTAACATATCGACTGCCAAATAAAACGACCTGGACCTGAAACTATTTGGGGCCATTGGAGCAATCTAATTAATTAGAGTTGCTCATGACCCGCTTCCCTACTTATTGGATGACTTGTTATTGTCAGCCCACTTATTGATTTTGGGCTTGGCCCATTACTATACCTAACACCTAGCTATATATACTTGAGCCCTATTGCTTTATGATGTCTGAGTATTGTTTGCTTCCTCTTCTTTGGGATAAAACACTGCTGCTTCCCTGTTTATGTGATTCTGCCTCTGCCGTCTTTTGTTATCTCCTTCACTGCCTTTGTGGCTTATGTTTTGGCTACAAATAATACCTTCATTCGTGTCCTTTTATGGGTACATAAAGAGCAACCAAAGTTTGGGAATAATAGGAGGTTTTGGGTTGTGATTTGTTGTGGTCGATTTTTTTGGATTTATACTGAGCCCCGAAACACACCATTGGTGATCAGTCTTCCGCTTTAAAAGTCTCACCCCAAGATAGTCCATGACCATCTCAAACCTGGGATAAAGAAGGTAAATAAAGGCGTCATTTCTCTGAATAGTTTTGCCATCAACATAAGTGTGCTGTTAATAATACAAGGTAGGCTTCTTTCGAAGCACTTTCTAGATAACCATTTCAATATCAATAAAGAAATGAATTCATAGTCTTCACTTCTTATCTGCGTACTCTTTTAGCCTCTCAGGTTGAAGGAAAATATTGGAAAGGTCACTATCCAGTGGTAGGCTGATGCAAGTCTAGAAATCATTCTTCGATCTAAGAAAGTTTTTATTTTAACATGGTGTGTCAAAGGTTGTGGGTATATGTGTGATAATTTCGCACTCATGTGATGTTCAGTAAAATAATTTCGGCATTCATGGTGGTGAGAGCCCAATTTTCGAGGCCTGAACATAGAGCTGGTTCACAGTTGTAGAAATGATCGAGCACGAGTTCGACTTGGGAGGTAGAATCCTAAAAATTCGGAGAAGAAAGCTACCATCCCCGCCACCACCAAATTCCAACATCCCAAGTCATTATTCTCCATGTGCATCAAAATCAACACGGCTGCCGCCACCAAGTTATGCCTAATACTGCCACTCAGGGCCGGTTCTGTGATTTT